ACACGACGCTCTTCCGATCTCCCCAAAACCCCAAAACCCCATGAGGAACAATATCCAAATAATTAGAAATAGTTATTTTTATACTAACGCAAATAATTACAATTAACAAATAATGGATAAAATTTTACAGCAATTGAAACAGCTCAAATAGGAGTAGTAAGAGTTGAAGACCCTCAAAACTCTTGAGTGTAAAGAGCAATTGAAGTACATTCAAAACTGCAAGACACTGCTGCAAGTTCATAAGCAAAAAAAGACAGATCATGTAACTGAGAACATGATTCAAATCAATGAGACGTTGCGGGCAATAACAACAGACGTGCAGGGTTTTAAAAGTATCAGGTAAAAATTGTTTATAAAAGCAAGTCAGGACAAAGACCCATAGAATAAACTATATCTCTATCTCTTTCATCTGTTTGAGTCGTTAGTCTGTAACATTAACACTTTGGTAATCAAATAGACTTAGTAAATACTTAACTAATGCCCATAAGAGGTGATAGGGAAGCTCAGAGATATTTAGAACAGCATTAATAATGATTCTATGATTAATCTTAGCAATGTTGAGGGCTTTTTCCAGGAGAATTTCAAGCAAATGGTCAAAAGTCAGAGATAGATAGAGCAAGTTGTCGAGACTCTGATAAAAGACTCTGATATTTAGCAAAGGAAATTTGAAAAACAGAAAAGCGCATTTGAATCATTTTTAAAAGAGCTACAGCACTAGCAAGTTAATCAGTCTGTTGATAACTCATTTGAAGTGAGATGGAGTTTGTAAGAACTTGAAAACATAGTCTATGATTTCCTGCATTTTAACGCTCTGCCTTTGGAATTCCAGAAAAACAAACTGAGTCACTTCTAAGATGTCTAAAAAGATGACATCTTAAAAGTTTTGAATGCAGAGTAATTATCCACCAATTGTTCTAAGGATGAGGTTCTTCCAGATATGATTAGAGATTACATCCTGCATGATAGAGGTAACTCATTGTTCTTGGGCGATTCTTTTGCTAATCTACCCTCACCTGTTAACGAGAGCCAAACTATTAAGTAACTATTTAAGCCCAAAGACGACAAGGACGACGACTAAAAGTTCAAGGATAAACAACTTAAGGACAAAGATGAAAATGTTAAGATCAAGATAGAAGGCAAAGATCTTAATGACAGTGAGGAGTCTAAGTCAGTTGTAGATATTAATGTTGATGATATCGACAAGGTAGTGTTCAATAATAACTAGGAGTAGATTAAGAGAGCTCAAGCTGCTTATAAGGAAGAAGATAGTTATGTCAACCCAGCAGATGTCACTTACAGCATGGACTTAGGTTACAAAATTATTGATAATCTTGAATCTCTAAGCTAGACTGTCATTCATCAGGAATTCATTATGAAACCTGTATAAAATAATAAGAAAATATCAGAAGAAGCTGAATAGATGAGAAACTTTTCATCATAGCTAGACCGTGATACAATCAAGATCAATTAGAGTGATATCTAGATTAAGGAAGGCTAGCTACATTAAGCAAATAAATTTAACTACCACTCGGTTGTGGAAGGGGAAGGAGATTATAAAGGCAAAAGAGCCCAGGAATATAATCCATACGTCCCTGTGAATAGAAATTTTATCAACAAAAATCTATCGATTAACATCTTGGATTAGCATAGCAGCATGATCTCAAACTCTGATGAATCTAATCAATCCTCTAAAAATATTGCTATTAATTAGAGAAGCACAGACTCGGAGCCAGTAAAACCTAAAGGTATTAATTATTCAAGAAATACCTAAGAGCTAGAGAGATCCAGATCTGACACAGATGAGAGGCTTTCAATTCAGTAAAATTTAGTCAATAGATTTCTACAGGAAATGTCCTAGAATAGTCATTCCAGTTCAATTAGAATTGACAGAACTAACAAGACATCTCTAAAGAATATTGAGAGGGAATTGCAGCTTTAGTAATAAAACATTCAAAGATAGGAAGAAATCAGCAAACTTGATATATCCTATGAGGATGAGCACAGTAGTTGCAAAGATACCATTAAAATGAGTTAGTAGAGAGAATTTAGTTTCTTCAGAGATGGCTCACGAAAAGATGCCGCCTCAAATAACACTAATACATCTAGATATGAACCAAAGCAATTCATCAATCAACAATTATCCAATGTTTAGGACACTGTTACTAGAATCCAGGGTCTTAACACTTCTTAGAATGCAGGCTACAATAATCCATAAATCTTGAAAGCATAAAAGTAAAATCCCTTCAAGATAGATAGTGTCACTGTGACTGAGAGTAGTAAAATTAACTCTAACTAAAGTGTAGAATAGTCCGCTTATCAAAATAACATTTCAACTGATATTCCGCAAATCAAATTATCCAATCATAAGAATAAATTTGCAAAAAGGTCTATATCACCTATCAACTATGTTGGCAAGAGTATGTAAGATAAATCAGTTATAGATTCTCAAGATAACATGAACAGATGTGTGTCCTAAAAAGCAATCGGAAACAAGCAATCTTCAGAGAGATTACCATACTAAACGCACAATGTGCCATAATCAATTAAAAATAGCCACTCAAATTACGATGTTTCGACAATGGATGGAGGCAACGGGATGTTAACACCAAGTATTGGTACTCAGAATAATCACAATTCTTAGTATAATTCAGTATAGTAATTATCCAAAGACCCTTCGAAGAAATCGATCGCAAGTCTACAGTAGAGATATAAATTTGCAGCGTAGAATCAGTCAGTCTAGAAATCAAATTATCTGAGAGGGTTTGAGGATAAACTTGATGTCTAGCCTAATCTAAGGAACATCGATGCTTTAAAAATGATCCTGAGCAAATAAGAGGGACAACTTTCAGGACGTAATTACATATCAGTGCCTGCTAATAACTCATAATAAAATGACTTTTAAAACAAACTCTCCTACAGAGGTGGAATTAAGGGCCAGTAGGAAAAGAAATGTACACCAATTACAGAGAGAAACGATTACAAGACTCGCGAATCAAATAGCAATTAAATTAGTTCAGGGAGTGCAGGGCAGAACAGTATCAATTACAGTAAGAATATGAAGAGAAAAGGGACTAAAGATGGCAGGAAAAAATCTAAGAAATCCAGGTCTAAAGTTAGAGACAGAGATCAAAGCTAGAAAAAGAATTAGAATGAGGCAATAAATATGAGTGCTCTCCCTAGTATAACTAGAAATTTAGGCTACCAATTATGAATTCTATCCTATCAATCAATTATAAACAATTATGGATTTTATTTCAAATAATGATTAGAAATTATCTATTTTTATACAAACTTCGAGGGGTTTTGGGGTTTTGGGGTTTTGGGG